AGTTCCCCACTATGGCCAGCAATAGGACAAAAATTAAGTATCCTTTTATGCAACTTCCAATGTTCATCAATGAAATGTACGATCAAGTACATATAGCTCAAGTTTTGCCTAGAAGTCCAAGTATCAGTGGTAAGACAAATTGTAGAAGACATGGTTTTGAAAAACTCAAATAACTTTTTCCTTTCCGCAATAAACAAGTCATAACAATCTCTTCTTATAGTGGAATGAGAAGGAATAACAAATGCTGGATTCATGATTTGACAAAAAGAACGGAAACCCTCACACTCAAAAAAGATGAAAGGCAACTCGTCAACCACAACCATCCTAGCAAGTGCTCTTCTAGTAGCTTTTTTATCGAATTCCCATAATGTTGGAATATTAATAACTTCAGTTGTACCATCTTCTCTAACAATTGTATGAGGCTGAAATTCTAACATTTTTTGCTTGAAATCCATATTAGCAGGCATTTTTTTTGCATCTCTTTAAGTGATTTTTCAAAGGTGTAGTCCCATTAACCCCTTTACAACCAATTAAAGTCTTACAATGCTGACACATAGCGACATCAGGATCAGATGTATCATCGTAATATACCCACCATTTAGATTTTTTCTTCTTATTATGACGAGATACAAGAGAATTGGTGGGTAACAAAGGCTTACTTTTTTGGCTTTTTTTTCCTCTTTGCCCGTGCAGATGCATCCCTCTCAACATTATTCAAGCTCTCGACATCATCATTACTACTTACATAAATAAAATTAATTAAATTCCAAAATGTTAAGAAAGAATAAGGGAAAAAAATTAAAGCCACAAAAACATTTAAGCCATAAAAGCTTATTGAATACTCTATCTGTTCGAATTGTGGTGTTAAATTATTGTGGAAGACATCCATGATTAAATGTGGACTAAGTTAACAAATTTTCAAAACTACCTTTTTGAAGTGCCATTATCAAATCAAAGGTGTAGTTCCATTAACAAATCGTCAAAACCCAATCCTTTAGTTTCATTATTGAATCAGGTTTTTAGCGGAAAAAAGAAAAAAATTTTGTTTGGGTTTTCAGCGGAAAAAAAATTTCGAATGGGTTTTCAGCACAATCAAATTTAAAGAAAAAATTAACCTCGCAGCTGCATCTGCGTTGCTGCCGGAAGCCTGCATACTCTACGCGCTACTCTTCCTATTTGAGATTGGGATGAGGTTGAAGAAGACTGAAGAAGATTGCGTCTTCTATTAGCCAATTACGGATAGCTTCTGCTAATTAACCTTGCAATTGGGCATTTGCTCCTTCACGCAACAGAGAGAAGGCGATGGAAACGGCGGATGGAGTGATGGGTGGGTGTCGGGTGATAGACTAATGGTATGGATAAGGGTAGAATTAGGCATAGTGGCTTAGGGTAAAAAATAAAAAAAATAAAAATCGGATATCCGATTATCCAAAAAATATTAGAATTTGAATCCATACCCGATCCGATACATTTCGGATATCTGATCCGAATCTCCGAAAACAAAAAATATCGGATTGGATATCCATTTTTTGGATCGAATTATGCCGGATCATGGACGGATTTTTCGAATCGGATAATTTTGAACAGCCCTAATTATATGTTCATATCTATAGTTAAATGATTGTTGTTTGTGGTTTAATAAGATTGTCGTTTGTTAGCCGCCTTTATTGTTTCTATGGTTTAATGGTAATAAATGTCATTGATATTCTTGGTTAAATGATTGTTGTTTGCTGTCTTTCAAATACCAGGCGTTTTTAGAATGAGTCCATTCGAAAATCGTGAGTTGATGTATAAGAAATATGAGAGAGAAGGTGTTGTTAGTCAAGAATGGGTGGACAATGTGGTTGAGTTTGTAGAGTACTGTGAGTCAAGTCCCAATGTAGATAGGTTGGATAACAAGAAAATGCGATGTCCTTGCAAGAAATGTAAGAACATCAAGTTTTGCTCATCAAAGTATATGCTGGAGCACATTTTACGGTTTGGATTCACACCCAATTATTTTGATTGGGTATGTCACGGGGAGAATCATGGTGACTACGTACCTCCACAATGATGTAAAGTCTCTTATCAAGTTGATGCCTCAGATGTATCACATGTCCCGGGTAGAGAATAGTTTGTACACATGATTTATGATGTAGTCAACCCGACTAGGATCAACTCTGTTCTTGAAGAAGAGCCAAATTCGACAGACAAGCACTTCTTCGAAATGTTGAAAGCTACTGATACAAATCTTTGGCCGAGGAGTTCTAAGACGTCTCAATTGTCTGCAGTTGCGCGCTTGTTGAATATTAAGTTAGAGCATAATCTATCAGAGCGTTGTTACGACACCATATGTCAATACATCAAAGACATTTTTCCGGAGGACAACTCAATGGTGAATGACTTTTATGAAACTAAAAAGATGATTGAAGGTTTGGGTCTTCCGATCCAAAAGATTCATTGTTGTGTTCTTGGATGCATGTTATATTGGAGAGGCGATGAAAGTCTTACCGAGTGCAAGGTGTGTCATAAGCCACGGTATAAAGACGAGACGTATAAGATTCCTTAGAAACAGATGTTCTACTTTCCGCTTACACAGAGGTTGAAACGCTTGTATATGTCCAAGTATGGCGGGGGCAATGAGGTGGCATGCCACACATCGACACACAAACCAAGATGAAATGTGTCACCCTTGCGATTCTGAGGCATGGAAAAGATTTGGCGCAGACCATCCTTTTTTTGCTTCAGAAATGCGCAACGTGCGCCTAGGACTATGCACGGACGGGTTCCAGCCCTTTGGCGAGGGTCCCAATATTCATGTTGGCCCGTAATGATTACCCCTTATAATCTTCCCCTTGACATGTGCATGAAAGAAGAACATATTTTCTTGTCCTTAATTGTTCCTGGGAGGTCTAATCCGAAGCAGAAGATTGATGTCTACTTGCAGCCATTGATTGAAGAGCTAAAGACCCTTTGGAGTAAAGGTGTTGAGACCTACGATCGATGTGTCACTCAAGCAAAACTTCAAAATGCGTGTTGCCCTCATGTGGACAATCGGTGATCTCCCTGCATACGCAATGATGTCTGGGTGGAGCACGGTCGGGAAGATAACATGCCCAATTTGTATGGATCAAGTTGAATCGTTTCGACTACCCAATGGAGGAAAGCACTCGTGGTTTGACACTCATCGACGTTTTCTTCCCTTGGATCATCCTTATAGAAAAAATAAGAAGAAGTTCATCAAAAATACAGTTGAGACGAGAGCGCCACCCATTAGAAAAAATGGTCAAGAGACACTACATGAAATTGTAGGTTTGGGCATGCGGAGGATCGTGGACGAAAATGGTGATGCCATTAACTCAGAGATTGTGAAGGACACTTCTTGCGGATGGAGGAAGAAGAGTATTTTTTGGGATTTGCCTTATTGGGAGACAAATATGATTCGTCATAATCTCGATGTTATGCATATTGAAAAGAATCTCTTTGAAAATATTTTCAATACCGTAATGGATGTACAGGGCAAGACAAAAGACAATGCAAAGGCAAGAGAAGATATCAAGTTGTTTTGCTCAAGAAAAGAGTTGGAGCGTGATCCTCAAACCAGAAAGTACCCTACGGGGGCTATATAGTTGGGAGGCTGCTGCATACAAACTTTCTCAAGAGCTGCACCATAGAGAAAATCATTAGAAACATCCAGCTAATGTAATAGCCAATTATTATTGACGTCCAAAGAAAGAAAACCTCAAATTAAATAGTCTTTTGTTTGACAACAAGACTGAATGTCTTAGTAGTACAAGCCATACTCTTGTGTATAGCCCTTTGCAAGCAGGCACGCTTTGTACCTGAAAATAGAGAAATCAGCATTATGTTTAATCTTATAAATCCACTAAATCTTGGAAAGTACAACACTAGGAGCGCTGCCAAGACTAAGCATACACTAGGAAATTACAAAATTCTTGGAAAATCCAACTCTGACGACATTTATTACATGACACTATTACAAGGAGATTGAACAGTAGTTGGCCGGTGTAGAGACGCTCACGACCTCACACTATTAAGCTTCCCCCATCCTCTCGTACTCTTTACTAAACTCGTCGTTGAGTTTGAAGCCCTAAACCCAAAACTGAAATGATCATTTTTTTCTCAATTATTAGTCTTCCTGGTGGAACCTAAAATAAAAACCAATAAGCTTTATTAATGAGTTTTATCGGTTAGTCTCAAGAAATTGCAAAGAAAATAAATATTAAAACTCATCCATGAAAGTTTCTGGATTTCGAATTTGGATTCCACCAATTAAACAAACAATTGAGAGAAGAGTGATGATTTCTCTTTTGGGTTCAACTTAGGAGAGAAAGGAGTGTGAATTTATAATTTTATCCACGTTCTTAATGCAAATGTTAACAAAAGATCATTCGTGAAAATGAATATAATAATTAGGGACTAAGTTAGTAATATTTGATATAAAGGGACTAAATATGTAAACCAACCTATAACTGGGGACCTTTTATGAAATTTACTCTATATTCAAATATTTATTATGATGAAAATGAATTGGACTTAAATTTTCTAAGGTTTATTTCTTGATTTTTTTAAAAATAAGAACTACCGATATCCATGAATTTTTTTTAGATATCTAAGTAAAAAATATTCGAAAGCTATAATATCAGATCCGATATCCATTTTGGGGTCGGATCAACACGGGTCATGAAGAGATATTTCAGAGTTGAGACCACATATTTTTTTAGAAAAATGCTAGGGATACACCAAAGGTGTACCCCATATGTCCCCCACCCCCTCCTTGTCCACTAAAAAGGCAAAAAATTTAAAAAAATAAGTAAATAAAAATCAAATAAATATATGAGGTAGAGGGGGGTGGTGTATATTTGGGGTACACTTTTTGATGTACCCTAGCATTGTTCATTTTTTTAACACCCCTACTTACTAAAACCCGAGTGTACTGTAGAACTCCCCAATTTGCAACCCGCGAAATTTTCAAAAGATTTACCACTGTCCAAAGCAGACGTCTCATCTCCCACCAAACCCGAGACATATATACACTGTCAGATTCGATTCGTGGTTGATAAACACTTTGAGAAAACTCGAAGGAGATTTAACAGCTTCCCGGATCGGATGATGGAGGGGAAAACCTTGAAAAGAGGCAATCTAAGAAGCAAGAAGAAGTTGAAGAGTTCCCTGACGAAGCACCTGACTGTCGGCGTCGGCGCCGGAGTCGGAGGTCAAACGTCTCTCTTCTCACTTCCGCCGCAAACCTCAGCTGCCGCATCCAAATCCGCTGGACTCCGGAGCGTTTGGGATGTAGAAGCACGGCCGGCTGTTGAATCTCAGTTACATTTGGCCCAACCGCATTTACCGTCGACGTCCTGTGTCAGCTCCGGCGCTGTTTCTGATGCTGGTCTCGATGAGAAAGATTTCATTCTTAGCCAAGATTTCTTTTGGTAAAGCTTCAATTCACCCGTTTGAGGTTCAATTTATTCTTTACATTATGCTTTGATTTGTAATTGATTTGTGTTTTCTTGTGTAGTACCCCTGATTACATTACCCCCGAGGTGCCAGCTATTCCAAATGGGTTGGATTCCGAAACGGTGGTAAATTATTTTTCCTTTTTTCTTCCTTCTCTTTCAAATGTTGTACATAACATATAAATTATAATATCAATGGGTTTACTGTCTAATATTGGGAAATCCTCTTTACAGGATAATTTAATTTGTCCCAAGTCACCCGAGAAAGTAAAATCTGTCGGAAGCAAAAGGCAGAGAATGGGTAACTCTATTTTTGAGTTTGTTTTCTCTATTTTACAGTAGTTTCAATTGTTTTTCTTCTGTTCATGATTGAGTAGAGTGTTTAATGAGTCATTTAGTGTATATTGCTTGTGGGAGTTCTTGAAGTTTTTTCATCTTGGTGAAAAGATGGGAAGCTATTAGTGTTAAGGAGTATGGTGTAACATAAGAGAAAGTGAAAAAGTATTTAGAAACCATTGGTTGGGCGACATGTTTAGCTAATTACCGGTTCTAGAAAATAATTGGTTGGAGAATGTTCTTGCTTGCAACCTGATATGATATTATGGGTCATTCTGAAAGTAACCTCTTCACAGGTTTAATGGAGTCATACTGCCCACTTGGTGTTAACTTATCAATGATGATACTTTTATTGTCAGCCAAGCATTCTATTTCACAGCTGCCTCATAGCCTGCCAGCCCTCTATATCCACCTTGCTATGATTTTCTTACTATTACAATGTCTTCATTAATGTCATGAATAGAGTAGTTCTTCCCATAAGTTGGCATGCTAGTGTTGCTTGTTAGCACTCTTATTCAGTACTTTTTGTCTACATTTTTGCAGATGGTCTTTCAGTTTCTTTCACTTCAAAATTTTGCAGCACACAACTACCTGATGCTACAGATGATACTTCTGTGGTAGATGAGACAAAATTGGGAAAAACAACCAACCCACCCAATAATCACGGTTATATTTCACAATCTGCCATGGCCTTAAGGTGTAGAGTTATGCCTCCTCCCTGCATTCAAAACCCATACCTCAAAGATGCTTTAGTAGCAGATATTGATCCGTTTGGAAGTCGAAGATCAAAATATGCAGGTATTAGTTTTTTCCCTTGCCAGAAGTTTGTGTTTGTTTTACTTTGAGAAACTGTGGTCTTTAAAACACTCCCACCTACAAGGTAAAATCCAAGTTTGACACCATAAATTATACATAATCAGATCTTAAACAGGAATAACTTGATATATGATATCAATGATGGATATTTGTAGACAAATCTCTTCTCACCTCTAGCCTCTTGTATGAGACAGTCAATAGGCAATGTTCTCAAACCAATATTGGAGTTATATTCCTAATAAGGTGTGTATTTATAGAGTTGAAGGGGTTGGGAAACCCTAGTTTCAATCTTACTATGTTTTGTTTTATTATTAAACCCTTTAATATTCTAAACTATATGGACTTCATAAACTTACAAGTCCAGTGACATGATCACATATGAATATTAATGATAAGATATATTCTAACACTCCCCCACTTGGTTTTGTGATCTTTTGACTGATTACAAACAACAACAACCCAGTTGAATCCCACAAGAGTAGGGTCTGCGGAGGGTGTGTGTACGCAGACCTTACCCTACTCGAAAGTAGAGAGGTTGTTTCGAGAGAGACCATCGACTCAACGCTGAAAGTTGCATTGATTGACTAATTGCTACTTCATTAATTAAAGAAGCACAGACAGTTTAGAGATCTATTTTGCTTTATTCCATCACACCCAAAGCCAAAAAAAAATAGTGAATTTTGGCATCATCTGGGAAACACAGTGGCATAGTTGTAAATAAGTCAAATTTTGTCGCCACCTCGAAATATGCACTAGCACAAGAAGAATGTGCACGCGATGGACAATCTTTTGGCTGATTAATAAAAATTTATATTGTGCGATGTTTAACAAAACAATTCCTGCCAAGAATATCCTAACTGAATTTTTGCTAAATCCTGTTGGTTACTAGTAATTTATACTCACATGCTGCATGCCATGCATTGTGAGACGGTTCTAATTCAACTTTAATGTTTGAGAGAATCTTAATTATCAAAACAACCTTGATTTGGGAAGTATAGAGTCTCAGAACATAAATTGAGGAATATCAAATGCCTCAACACTTATCATCAATATAAATTATGTGTTTACAAACAACTCCGTAGATATCAAAGAGAAACCAGAGCAGGCAAAACAAATGTAGCACTAATCAGTGTTGCCTACTATAGTAACAAAACTAACCAAAACACCCATTAACCTTACTAAGTGATAAATGCATTAACATATAATCCTTAATATGTATGTCCTTTTGTAGAAAGAAAAACAATTATTTTGGCATAGAGAAGAAATAAATAATTTCTTAAGGCATAGTATTCTATAAAATGTGTAGACTTTCATTTGTTAGTAAGATTCCAATGACAACCCTTGGAACTTGTAGCGTTTTATCCTGCAGTTCTGGAAAATGATGGCCTTTCACGCTACCGGACAGATTTTCACGAAATTGAGGTATTCATTTACATTAGTCTTACAGTCACAACTACTACCTTATCTTTCTTAACAATTTGGTAACTTGCAATTGTTTGTGTGTATCAGCAAATTGGCTGTGGAAATTTCAGTCATGTTTTCAAAGTCTTGAAGCGAATTGATGGTTGCATGTATGCAGTGAAACATAGCACAAAGCAATTGTATCTGGACACTGAAAGGTATTCACTTCATTCGTTACAGGCTATGTTTGTATGTTAAAATGGGCTCTTCTGCTAACTCCACTTTATTGTTTTGTTTCTTTAAGGAGAAGGGCTTTAATGGAAGTTCAAGCTCTCGCTGCCCTTGGCAAGTGCTTTATAAAGTTTTTCACCTTGTGATGCACTTATCCTATAGTTCATGTATATGTATGAGAACAATTTATCATTCCGTATTTACAGGGTTCCACAACAACATTGTCGGCTATTACTCTTCGTGGTTTGAAAACGAAAAACTTTATATACAGATGGAACTTTGTGATCACAGCCTATCCATCAAGAGAACTAAATTATACTCAGAAGGGGAAATATTGGAAGTAATGCATCAGGTAAGCATTTTTTGCTCGGTACTTGATTCAATTCATGATTGGGTTAGGGCAATTAAACTGGGTCAAAATGCATGCGAGACAACCCATACTAAATAATTGATTTCAATCCATTTCATAATAATAATAATAATAATAATAATAATAATAATAATAATAATAATAATAATAATTCCTCCTCTTGCTTTTGACTTGTGTCAATTTGCAGATTGCCAAGGCATTGGAGTTTGTGCATGAGAGAGGCATAGCCCATTTAGATGTAAAACCAGACAATATATATGTAAAAAATGGTGTTTATAAGCTAGGAGACTTTGGATGTGCAACACTACTGGATAGTAGCTTGCCAATTGAAGAGGGCGATGCACGCTATATGCCGCAAGAAATCCTCAATGAGAACTATGATCACCTTGACAAGGTTGATATCTTTTCCTTGGGTGCTTCAGTGCATGAGCTTATCAGAGGCTGTTCCCTGCCAGAAGGCGGGCTTCATTTTATGAACCTCAGGGAAGGAAAAATGCCTCTTCTGCCAGGCCATTCATTGCAGTTTCAGAATCTACTCAAGGTAGGTACTTGCTCTGAGTTAAATGTAAAGTGGGCTTCGTCCTTATTCGATCCCCACTAGTTTTGGATACATTTTCAATGTTCCCGGAGCGGCTGACTTATTTCTCTGTCTATAAATTTACTGAATTCAGGTCATGATGGATCCATGCCCTATCCGGCGTCCTTCGGCCAAAGAACTTGTTCATCATCCCATTTTTGAAAGGAGACAGAGATCAACCGTGAACAAGCACTGACACACACACATGGTGTCAATTGTGAGCTCAAAACCTGTATGTATGTATATATAAAAAAATTCTTTATTACTCAGGAAGGCTGGCTTGGCTCCAACTCATAATTTTGAATGCTCTTACTTTGCTGAGGAACCCTATGCAGGATGTTCCCGAGAGAAACATTGTATGAGTTGTATCAGAAAGCTGTTTTTTGTTTGTTTTTTTTTTGTGTGAACATTGTATCAAACAATTTGTGTTTCTGTTATGCCCTAGCAACCTGTTTATTTCCCCACAATTAATAGTACTTTCATTTGGGTGTTTCCTGAAATCAGAATCATTACTGAACCTAATACAAGAAAAATCAATCAAAAGCAAAACCAAAGTCACACATTAGCAAATGATTTATGTATAACACACATGAAGTACCTCAGCAATACCTCATTTACATAATAACATCATATAAATTCATGATCAATTGCATTTTAAAGATGCAAAATGAGCAGGAAACTTAAATTCCCCCCTACGTGGTACAACTGTTATTTAGATTTTGAGGAATTGACGTAATAGTTTCAAATGAATTCAATTAAGTTATACTCGTAATATGAATGTTATAAAGCTAATAAATACTCTCTAATCCAAATCTATTCTCAATTTACGATGTTTGATTGAAAGTATTGTCAAAACAATTTATTTGAAAAATAGATGAAATTAATATATATATATATATATATATATATAGGGATTGACTCCAGTGAGATGACATCTTATGGTAAGATAGCATGCTTCAATGAGATGACACAACACACAACACTGGCAATGGAAAGCTCACCAACTGCCAATGCAAAGCTCACCAACTACCAATGCAAAGCTCACCAACTGTCAATACAAAGCTCACCACTTTTTTTAAATAAAAAAAGTTAAAAAAATAACACCACTACTCAACCACCACTCAACCACCGCTCAACCACTGGTCCACGAAAATAGTGGGGGTCATCGGTGGTGGCCATTGGTCATGGGCGGTCAAAGTGTAAAGCTCACCAACTATCAATGCAAAGCTCACCAACTGTCAATGGAAAGCTCACCAAGGAACAATGCAAAGCTCACCACTTTTTTTTTTTTAAAAAAAAGCTAATAAAGCAAAACTCACCACACTACACTACAAAGCTCACCAATGGACAATGCAAAGCTCACCTGGAAATAAAGCAAAGCTCACCACTTTGAACCCCAAAACTCACTTTTTTTTTAAATTTTAAAAATTAAAAAACTAATTAAAAATAAAATAACAACACCGGTCAACCACTGGTCAAGGGCGGCGGAGCAGCAGTGGTGGCCGGAGTCCGGCGACCGGCAGCGGCTGTGACCGGATTCCGGCGGCGGCGACCGGCGACAGAGACCGGCGACCGGCGGCGGTGGCGACCGGCGGCCGGCGGCGGCGGTGACCGGTTTCCGGCGACCGGCGGACGGCGGCGGCGGTGACCGGATTCCGGCGACCGGCGGCGGCGGCCGGTGGCAGGCGGCGGTCAATGCTGGCGGTCAATGCAGTCAAAGTCCAGTCAGCACCCTTTCCTTTGATTTTTTTTTAGGAAAAAAATTCAAAGTGTTGAAAAAATATGGTGAGCTTTGCCTTACACTTTGGTGAGCTTTATAGTTGTCTTTGGTGAGCTTTGCAGTGACCAGTGGTGAGCTTTGTGTCATCTGACCGAAGCATGTCATCTCACCGTAAGGTGTCATCTCACTGGAGTCAATCCCATATATATATTATTTTATCAAATTATTAACAAAAGAGTGAATAAAGTTTAATTATGTAAATAGTATATATTCCATATATAATTTAATTTAGGACGGAGGACCACTTGATTTTCTTTTACATGGATGAATTAATTGAGAAAAAAATTGGAATGATCCAAAACACAATTTACTACGTTTTTAAGGTCCAACAACACATTTAACCATAATTTAATATACACAAACCAAGTTCTTTACAAATAATTTCTAAGGAAATTTTCTCCAAAGTGATTCTCCTCCATAGTCTTTAGTGGACTGGGATTCTTGAAAGACATGGTAAGTGGAAAGATTTATTTAATAACATCAAAACAAAGTTAGATATGACACTTAGGGTAATAGAGTCTTCGACATTGCCAACAAAAATCCTAATATCTCTTAGAGTATTCCAATTACGAATAAAGTAAGGACAACACCCCACCAGTGTCTCCATACTTCGCAACAAACACGCACAAATGATAATCGTCTGTGTGGCATAAATGATATGCCATGTGTTGGATGAATTGGGATTGAATTGGGCTCTACATGTATTGGCGCAATTGGTGGGTTTTTAGCACGACCCTTCACTTAAATCTTGATTGTGCCATGTGTTGGATGACACTGCCAACAACACTCCTAATGCCCCCTTCGGACATTAGTAACTATATATTGAAGAGTAAATTCTACAATTGATCATTTATAACAGACATTTTCCGTATTTAGTGTGGTGGTCCTTCTTTTAGTACATTTCCATGGATATATCTTTTTCGACATTCAGTCATGTTAATGTTAAATTAAGGGGTAAAAGCTGAATTTCACATCAACCCTATGTGCATTGACGTGTTCTAATCTCTACTTGACAAACAAGACAAATAATGACTATGATTTTGAACTAGGATTCCAACCAGAGATGACATCTGTACACTATGGCTGGATGTAAAATAATAGACTTGAGCCAATTTAACCCCAAAGTTAACTCCAAGAGTAAATTCTATAATCGGTTCTTTATAACATGAATTTTCCATACTTAATCATTTATTATCAAATATCACGTTAGTGGTCTATTTTTTGATCTTTGCTCATGTTGGTATTAAATTGATGGCTAAAAGCATAATTTCCCAATTTTACATCAACCCTATGTCTAGTAATGTGTTTTGATCTCTACTTGATGGACAACTCAACAATAATGACTATAGCTGCAGACTAGAATTTTGAAAAGAGATGACATATGTAGACTACGATTGCATGTGAAATAATATACTTGAGCCCAATTCAATCCCAATAGTTAACTCAAAGCGTTGAGGTACCCAAACCATTATTAACATTATAATATTAGTGTACATGGTCGATGTGGGATGAGTATAACTCAACACGTCCTCTTCGTACTGGTGTAAAAAAACTACAGTCGGTCCTAACATCAGTGACCTACCTTAACTCTGATGATATCATGTGAAATACTAGTCTTGGGACCAGTGCATTCCCAAAGGGTTAAGGCACCTAAGCCATTATTACGACCATAATATTGCGGTGCACTGTCGATGTAGAATGAGTATAACTCAAAACTTTAGTAGACAACGGCACCAATTTACAAACGGCACATCAACAACGACCTCTGACATTGGCTATAACAAAAAAGATATATGATCACTGTCAAATTATATTTTAGTTCTCCATTTAACACCAATATGACACAAGATAAAAAAACTATTCATGGACAACTCTTATTATGAAGGATCAATTATAGAAGTTACTCTATTAAAATGTTTTAATGGATTTTTTTATGGAACTTCTTGTCACACGTTGTACTTACAATTTTGAGTGCACTACCCCCATAGGCTTCCGCTTAAAAAGTCCATGGTTTTAACCAATTTAATTTTCACCTAAAATACAACCGGGTGGGTTTCGGTCCATCAAATGAAGCTTTCTTTGAGAAGAGAAATTATTTTCAAAATTACCCTCTCTAAATTTTTTTCTTTATGCAGAGTATATTGAATTAAAAAAGGTCCCATATTTACTAATATGAAAATCATTTTAATTACAAATTAGTATATAAATAAAAAGTACAAATGGCACCATTCATACATCAAAAGTTCTACAAAAACAAGATGTGACAAAAGTATTTTATTTTATCAACTAATGAACGAAAATATACAAACAAACAAAAATTGACAATTTTTCACATAGAACCTAATCAAGTAGACACTCAGAGCTAGATTTATTACTGCTAAAGAGAACAATAAATCTATAAATGCATTGGTTCCCACTTTTCATGCTTAAACTTGGAATGAAAACAAACACAGTTACTAAATTTATATCTTCACAGTTCCATATAAGTCGAACGTTACCAATACTGGTCTCTGGTGGCCATTTTCATTGTCTTATATTATCTGAATGCATCACCTGAAACAAGTGATATACAAGCTTACAGACTAATTTTCTTCCTCGTGGCACACAGAACTTTCATTATCTACAGCCACATTGTGTAAAGGAATCAGATTTGTGTTCTTCCTGCGAATTCGCCTAGAAGCTGTTGAGGTCGAATTATCACTTCCTTTTCTTTTGTTGCTTGTCCCTAGGAACCCATACGCAAATGCCTCTAACACTTTTGCACTTGGCCTGCTTCTGGTGCTCTGCCTCCTGCTTGTAACGACCGGTTCCTTGACAGTAGTAATACTTGTAGATTCTAACACTTCAGATTGCAGGTGAGATGGACAGGAGTTCTCAACTGATTGCCCAGACCCATTATTGTTCTCAATTCCATTTCTTTCACCGCTAGAAAGAATTTGACAGGTATCTTGAAAACTTGAACCTCCCTCAGTCATCAATCCGTTTATCACCGTGCTTTGAGTATTATGGCTCAACTCTTTGTAGTTGGTGGAGGATGTTGTTGTGTGTTTAGAAATGGATGCTAAATTTGGCACCTCATTGGGTTTCATCATGTCTTCGCTAGACTGCATATTCAGAGATAGCCTCCTAGAAGGTGTCACTTTGCAGACATTGTTACCACTACTGCTTACTTCTTCTTTGATCTTCTTTTGACATGGATCACTAGACAGCTGAGTGTTTATCGTGCTGACTTCTTTAAGTTGAGTGTTGAAGAAGGCTAGGTGTTTATCATTTGGTACGCCATATGGTTCAATCTCATCTCCTTCCACACTGTCGGAACTACTCTCTACACTCAGAGGACCACAAGGAGGAAGAGGGACAAGTGGGAAACTTCTCACCTCCCTTACTCTAACTTTTCCTTCCCCGGTGTACAAGCTGGTGTCAACAACTGTAAATGTCACTGGATGCTGTTTGTGAGCTGAACTCCGTGGTTGGAGGTAAGAATGGCGTCGCGGACTCACAGAAAGTTCCGGGTCCTCTCCAACCTCGGAATCTGTCGAGGATTTCTTCTCATTCAGACTGCCACCAGTGACTGCATTTTCATCAAGTTCAAGAAGGCTAGGTGCTGAGGCAACTCTGTTCAAAACATCAGTAACTGAATCAAAGAAGTGGGTTCCTTTCTCTAATCTTCTTGAGAATTTTTTGACGCCCGGTACAAGAAACACCAAAGATTGCTTTGCACCAGCATATACAACGTCACTAGGCTGCTCCGAATGCCACCCCCGTGCTAAGAGCCGTGGCCAAACAGCTTCCCAGAAAAGATCGTTCGAACGAGCTTTGCTAAGGCGAAAATCACCGGTCAAAATTTTGACAATTTCACTTGATGATAGAGAAGAGCATGCTTTGCCTACAGGAACTTCAGCACGGACATGTAAGGAGTGATTGGTTTTTGTTGACTCCAAAGCAGTTCCGGTAAGATCCTTTTTACCTTTTCCCAGGGCAACAGCTTCTACTAAGTTGGTGATCCCGGCCTTGTCTTTCAAATCGAATACATACTCTTCAAGTGTCATCTTTCCATCTCCGAACAATTTAGATATCTAAGACAGTATAAATCAATAATCGCATAGAATAATATGATTCAACAGATTAATTAAGCTGAAAGTGCAAATTACCATCATGTTGATGAACGGTCACTCTCTTATACTCAGATCTATGATATAAAAAAAACACAAACATCAAGACCTATTGTTTTTCTATCTACCAGACAATCATGAAATAGCTTTGGTGCCTAATCTTGTCTTAGTTAACAACTTTACAGTACTTGAGCTTCTCAGTCCCATTTCTACATGAAATGAATGCAACACTACACTTGACAATGCACATTGAGTAACTCAATGGCAAAATATCTCTACAAGATTACCGCCAAATGTTCAAGTATTTTACTGTCAAAACCAAAAGAGGAAACTTTAGCATTTCAGCTGAGAACATTGATTTCCTGGAACTTATTTCTTTGTTTTTTTAATGAATCAGACAATAAGCCCATCAATTTTTTTTTAAAAAAAAAACTGAATTCCCTTCCTTTCAGTAGGGGAAGAAGAACTTGAACCCAAAAGCAAAACTAAAGTATTTTCTAGGAACCTTTTCTAATTGTTCATCAAGACTTTCATGAAAGATATACCTATTTGTAAGTCTAACTATGCATTAACAATTATGCCTTGCAAAAAGTCTTAAGATTCTCTAGTATTCACACTATGGGTTACAAATAATTCCAATCACAAGTTAGGGCTTCTATTTAAAGTTACTTGTGCAAAAGAGAGTGTAGACGGTACCTCGGTCAACATGTAATAAGAGTCCTCCGAGACATGGGAAGATAACCGTGACATGAGCTCCTGCTGCCTCCAGCCCATGAAAATCCTTTCACCATATATGCACCGCCTCCCTTTGATCTTGCGACAACCTGACCATCTCCGATAATCTCTAGATCTGTAAAACTTCCCATAGTAGTATGGCAATATGTCTCCAATCTTTTTACTCCCCATAAACCTACTAATAAGAGAGAGGTTTTTCCCAAAAATATACAAGCCAAGGAGGAAGCTAGAACATTCAAGGCCACTCCAATCTTCATTGGGTAAGCCTGGAACAAGAGAGCAGCTGCCTTCAGATCTTAAAGAGCCATCTCCATTGCTTGCAACTACATTATTATCAGAACCTTCCTTAGGCTCGCCAATTTTGTCTTCCTTATCATATATCCACATGACTGGAATAGGTAAACCCATTGGGTAAGAATTTGAAATGTCCAGTTTGATGCTCATGTTGCATGATGATTCACTTCCAAGCTGCCTATAGCCACACTTGTCCCGAAGAAGAGGGATTTCTGCCTGGTACTCAGCTCCAACTCGAGGAAACAGTTCAGGATCTTCAAAAATATAGTTTGATCCAGACGATTGCTCGGACGGATAGAATTCAGAAGATTTATTTATCGCATCCATAATCTTTTAAAGTCTCTTACACCTATGGGGAAAAACTATATTTAAACATAACGTAGAATACTGTCTAAAAAGCATGATTTGTGACAATGTCATCTGAGACGCAATGACCAACAGTGATTATCAAAAACAAATCTTTTTCTAACTTTGGAATGAACTTATAGTATATTATACATTAGCAAGATTCAAATTACCATTTCAATGTATGAAATGTATTTTATAGTGAAATTGCCAGTTGGATTGAGATAACATAATGTTAATCTGCAGTCGCTGTGCATGAAAATACCCAAAGCTCCTGGCTTTGGAATATAAAATGACAATTAAACCATACATCATACACGGACTGCAGTAGTAAGGACTAGTAACTCCAGAAGCAAAGTTTCTCTTTTTTTAAGTTTAATCTAAAAATATGTTTATATTCGAGACTTGCCCTTTGAGGATTCCATACTCAAAGGGAAGCCAGAGTTGTCACTTCCAAGATTCGAATGCACACTGCGCTGTCATATAATCTCATTCCTCTGAGTCTAAAGGTAAGAGATTTTTCCCACATCAGTTGGTAAATTTCTGAAACCCTTCAGAAATATTTGACCCACGGGATCGGGGATAGAATAATATCAGCGCTCCTCTCCCCAATGTTGAATCATTATTATTTAAAAACTGGCTAACTCATGAACATACCCGAACAGCAAAATAATCAGCATTGAGATAATAAAAACTCCAAGCAGGAAGAATAATCTCAAGATCAAAATTATCAGTTAATAACAAAAAAAATGAAATGAAGTACAAACTCATAAGGGACATTTATGATGGCTAAACAACGAAGCAGAACTACGTGCGCATAACATTAACCAGAGAACGTGAGAGAGAAGACAAAGCATACATAAACTAAAACGAAAGATCTACTTGCATAAACAAAAATAAAAAAATGGGTTTTATTTAATCTTTGGGAATAAATATTCACTTCTCGTAAACCAAACCGTGCACATAAATAACGATGAAAACTCGCGAAAAAAAAACATAGAAAAACAGGGGGAGAAAACAACCCTGCTAGAGAGGCAAGGAAGAGACCTCAGTCCTTTTGGTGTGGGATGAAAAGCCAAGAAGTTGAGTTCTTACGGAGAGCTAAGCTTTGGACAAGAAGACTTGTCCAATGGACGAAGACAGATCAATATGTGTGAACTGTTTTTATTTTTTTTCGTTGCTTCTTTTTAATATTTTCTCTTTGCTTTGATGAAGTTTGAGAGAGAGAGGCCGCGATTTAAAGCACTGTTGGTGTTGGGTTGACAAGCGGATTGAAATTGAGATTTGAAGATGAAATTGACAATTGTCTTTTACCCTTTTAACTGCCGTTTTTTTCTGCAAACTTAGCTTGAACTTGCTCCTCTGACCTCTCATTCCCTAGAATTACCAATATGAGAGAAGATAAAAATGATTATTTGTGGAAAGATTCTTATAAAAGAAAGAACACGGAGTTATATTTTATAATACTCGTAGAAAATTAAATAGGAAAAATTCTCTGTTATAAAAGACCAATTATGAAATTGCTCTTAATTCTAATAGAAGCCTATTTTAACGCCACTCCAATTGGTGCCAAACCATGACACCAATTTAATTTAAAAAATTACGATGCTTTGATTGTAAAATTGATAGTTATTACCTATTACCACACCCCCTAAACCCCACCATGGCCCACCCCCTCCTCATATCCTCTCTTTCCTTAACCACTATTTGGAACATCAAAATCTGTCAAATCACACACACACACAGAGGCGGATGTAGTGTTTTGGCAGTGGGGGCACATGCCCCCAGTCAACTTTGAATTTTTTTTTAATTATTACCCCTAATTTTTTAAAAAATCTAATATTGCCCCCAATAAAAGATATACTTGCCCCCACTAGAAAACTAGAAATCTTATACGGAGTAATTTCAGTCTAGAATCGCAATCCACAGTCCACGGACCACAAATTGAGAGTTAACTAGTTGAGTAAGAGGCTTTCCTTCTCTTTTTGAAAGTTTGATTAGGACTTTTAGATCCAAGTTTTGAATTTGTCAAATTTTAAGAATCAATTATGTTAAAAAGTACGGAGTAAAAACTACTGAGTAGTGTGTACTTCATGCTTTTTTGCAACTTTTTAATGTATAAATTTTAATATGATTTCTATTTTTATCATTAATAGTACTCCCTCCGTCCCCAATTTGATTATAAATTGCAGGTTACGGAGTAAAATTTTCTACGTTTTGAAATCATTTTATTTACAAATTGGTATATCAATAAGATATAAAAATTACATATTAAAAAAGTATGTCAAAAATTCTACAAAACAAGAGGTGACAAGAATATTTTATTTTATTAAATACTTAGTGAAATTGCGTAAACAAACAAAAGTTATCGAGAGGAGAGAGAAAAAAATTGTAATCTATTTAGGGACGGAGGAAGTAGTATAATACTTGTATTTTTTTGCACATTATTTTTTTTGGAAAAAATTGGGGGTGCTACCCAAACCCGGTAGAAGTCTCGCCCCCAGTCTCTTCAATTCCTGGATCCGCCACTGCACACACACACACACACACACACACACACACATATATATATATTGGTTCAGTTGAGAATGTGATCTTATGAAAGAAATAAGAATGAATCTGGTGCTTTAGATTGTGAGATCTAAGGGTCAAGATTGCATCAAAATTAGGTGCACCAAAATGGTTTAAAAATGCATCATGTCGAAATGCACCAAAATCCTTTAAAAATGCACTATCTAAAAATCTGAGTGCAAGATGCAATCTGAGCTGCACGATGCATCAGATCCAAAGGCTAGATTTTATTTTTATTTCTTTCACCAAGGTGCATTCTCACCCGAACCGACCCATATATATATATATATATATATATATATATATATATATATATATATATATATATATATATATATATATATATATATATATATATATATATATATATATATATATATATATGGGATTGACTTCAGTGAGATGACACCTTACGGTGAGATGACATGCTAGAGTCAGATGACGCAAAGCTCACCACTGCCAACTGCAAAGCTCACGAAACTGTAAGGCAAAGTTCACCATATTTTTTCAACACTTTGAATTTTTTTTGAAAAAATAAAATCAAAGAAAGGGGTGCTGACTAGACTTTGATTATTGACCGAGACCTTTGACTGCCGCCGGCCACCACCGGTCGCCGGAATCCGCCGCCACTAGTCGCCGGAATCCGCTGCCTGTCGCCGGAATCAGCCGCTGCTCCGTCGCCGGCCGCCGGAATCTGCTGCCGCTACGCCGCCGGTTGCCGGAATCCGCCGCCTGCCGCCGCTGCTGACCGATGGTTGACCGGTGTTTCTATTTTATTTTTTATTAATTTTTAATTTTCAAAATTTTAAAAAAAGATGATTTTTGGTGTTCAAAGTGGTGAGCTTTACTTTATTTCTAGGTGAGCTTTGCATTGTCCATTGGTGAGCTTTGTAGTGTAGTGTGGTGAGCTTTGCGTCATCTCAACAAAGCATGTTATCTCACCATAAGGCGTCATCTCACTGGAGTCAATCCATGTCATCTCAAAATCAGCGCTGAACTCCGCACATACAATTCAGATTTTTCTCACACGTTTATATGTTACTAGTCATAATTAAGATAAACTAAAAGTTTTTTTATTCTTTGTTTTATAGAAAGAGCCTACAATCAAGATTTGGTATGTATTTTGTAACACCCCCAAGTCGTATGATCTGATTTGCCCGCGACCTGACGGGTTGAAGGGTTACATAGATGGTATTAAGGATCATCCATTTAAGAAAATCAAATTCCTTTGTCATTTTTTAATTTAAATAAAACTCGCTGGGAAAACAATCCAAAAAAACATACGGAGTGAAGTAAACAGTCCAACGCGGAAGCTAAATAAAGTTCAGTCCATATAAGTAATACGACAAAGGTGAGTTCATGCCTGAAAAGAATTTAAAGTAATTTAAGAAGAAGTAGTAATCCACGTCCACCATTTGTGCATCTCCTCACTCTCATTGACCTCCGGGATAGGCTCCAAGTTCATCATTCCTACCAGCGTATTGCACAGAGAATATTATACACTCAGCATAAGCTGAGTGGTAACTATAACAAGAGAATATGTAATGCCCCGAAAATAGGCCTACCGGAATTAATTAATTGATAATTAATTAATTACTGAGAAGGACTCAAAAATAAGTGATTTATAAAGTTTGTCAATAAATAATGAAAATTATATCATTATGTAGAATTTAACTGTCTGATCCAAATGGTTCAATAAGATTTCAATTCGGAGAAAGTTGGACCAAAAAGAGTTCCCCGACTAGGACCAAATTAGTCCCAATCAGGGACTTACGTTTAAAATCGGAGAAGATAGCAGCCCGCTCCACTCAGCCGCCAAAACAGTCGAAGGAAAGGTCATCACCGTGTCTTCTTCCTCCTTCAATGGGCTATATCAGGACCATCTCGATTCCTTCAATTCCTCACCATTTCTTACAAACTTTCTATCTATTCTGTTGCTGGAAGTGAGGAGAACGCAGTGATTCTGTCGCATTGGTGTGAGGTCGCCGGAGTTGAGAGCTATCGCCGCCGGAAGTTTTGCCGGAAAATCTTCAAAATCTCCATTACGCTTCGAGGTAAGCCCGTAGATATATCTAGTGACTAGAATGTTCGTATAGATCGTTTCTACGTTCATAAATGGTCATTTGGTTGAGTTTTGTGTTTCACATGATTGAAGAACCAAGAATCTTAAACCATTAAATTGAATTAATGATACCAAAATGATCTATGAACCTTGGAGAACATCCCTATATAGTTTAATTGAAGTTTGGTGACTAAAAATGGTTTTTTCGAAAAATGGATCGAGGTTGAAGATGAATGAACAGTGGCTGAAAATCCACAGAGTGGATCAATCTTCTCTTCTCCATTGGATCGATCCCCTGGGGTAATTTCTTACAATTTGGATCGATCCACAGGGTTGGATCGATCCCCCGAAAATCTGATCCAAAAATTTGTCCGAAAATGCTAATTTTGAGCTCCAAAATCCTATTTTTGATACCAATTGATTATGATCATTATAAAAATGATTTTTCATAATAAAAATGATGTTTTTAAAAAATAAAATCTTGTGTGATGCATGACGGTAAGTTAGGGTGTTAACACCCGAAGCTAGGGCGCTAATTGTTATTGAATATTATGTTGATTGATGATTATGGTAATGATTATTGATTGATGATTATGATGATTAAATCTTAATAAATATTCTGATTAAAAATGATGATTGTGAATGATTAAATCATAATGAATACATTGATGATTGTGAAAATAATATGTATTGTTAAGGGTATCTAGAAGACCTTTAGGATATACTCATATTAATGTTGATTTGAAACGTATCTAAAAGACCTCTAAGATATACCATTTAAGTTAGGCCTTGCGGGTATGAACCCCGGTGGCCAGGGTTAAAACGTACGTACGGGATCCAAGAACCAAACTTGAGTACCTACTCGTTTGGGGGTACCACCCACCCAACAGTGAACACTACGCTGTCGGTTTCTGGTTGGCCTTATATGAAGGTAGGTTTAAGATTTTCAAAACCCTTTTATCTTAAACAAGGTCTAGCTTAAGGATTATTTAGGAATACTTATTACTGGAATATAGTTTAATTATTTGAACTAAAATTCGTTTAAGGGTTGACAAGTATATATTAAAGTGATTGGCCTTAGACTAAGAATAGTTTAAGGATATTATTGAATGTTGAATATTGAATATAAATAAATATTAAATGATGAATATTGAATTGAATATTGTAATCATTATGAAAGACGGATAAACATTGAATGTGAAAATAAAATAATGAATGATGAATATTGACTTATTATTATTGAGTACCTGAACTGAACATTATGTGCATGATATCAAATGATTTGATTATGAATTTAGATTCAGTTTATATGGATGTTCGACGCATTAGATATGCTTACTTAGTTTAAACGCTGAGCGTGTAGTATGTTTTATTTGCTACACGCAGGTAAACAAAAAGAATGAAGCAAAGATTTCCTGGAATCAGATGGGACGAGATGGTCAGACGGATGTGTGTTTTGGATTTGAATTACTGTTTGAAAAGACATAAATTAATTATGTTTGTATTATGTTTTATTAAGCTTCCGCAACATTAAATTACTCCGTTACTATTTTGAATTATTTATTATGAAATAAAGTTTTAAATGTTTGAAATATTTTTGAATGTCTACGAATACCAAGTTTATACTTTAGTCCGAAAGGGGCTGCAGACTTGGACGGATTAGGGTGTTACAATTTGGTATCGGAGCAAATGGTTTTAAACCTGATCTTCGGATCAAAACTTGGATTTAATATATATATATATATATATATATATATATATATATATATATATATATATATATATATATATATATATATATATATATATATATATATATATATATATATATATATATATATATATATATATCGGCTATATTAAAAAAAATTGTCAATCACATCCATGACTCTCGCGTCCCTCTACTCTAGGAAGGTAACAAAAATCTAGTATTGAATTTGATTGTATTGAATTTCATAGATGTCAACTGTTAATTCTGGGATGATATCAAGTGTTGACTCGAGTCAAACTTTCGTATTCGCCAAGAGACGAAAGAATAAACGAAAAACATATGACTCCCTGATACGTTATCAACGTGCGCATCGCATCGCGAGAATAATGAAACGAAGAATTTATCTTCGCCGCAAAGCCGCGTGGGAACAAGACGATCCTGAAGAAACATTCAGTGTAGACATTGCCAACAGCATCTGCGGATCCGATGTGGAAGATCTTTCCGTAAATTTGAGAAAATCCAACTATTCAAACGCAAACGCTTAGAATAAATCTTGTTGTTAGAATCCCTTGATTGTATCAATTATTGTAATCCTTTGCAATTTATGTCATGAACTCAACTACCCAAATAAAGAATCCTAATAAAGGAATTTCTGTTAATTGTAGAATGAGTCAAGAAACCGCACACGGACAAGGCAACAATGAACACGTAAGTGTTCACACTGAAGCGTGTAGCTTAACCCCTCCTATTTAAAACGAGCCTATTAATCAACAGAATGTTCCTCAGAACGAGGGGAACAATGCTAATGCCGCTGGTCAACAAGACTACGTTATTCCTGTCTTCCTGGCCAATTTCTTGCAACAAATAGCCAATGCTCCTATGTTTCAACCACCGCCTCCACTGCCTCAACGAGTGATTACTTTCAAATCTCTAAAAGAAAATGGAGCGGAAGAATTTCTGGGCGACCGAATCGCCGAACCCCAAATTGCTTGGAATTGGATTGAACAGACTGCTCGAGTGTTGAAAGATCTGAACGTACCTCTTAACGACCACCCGAGACTCGCAACACAATTACTTCGTGGGGAAGCCTACGAATGGTGGAAACGCATCGATGAGAGTAACGAAACCCCGAAGCCATGGACATGGGAGTTCTTCGACTGGGCTTTCAAGAAAGAGTATATCCCAACACGTTTCTGTGAAGCGAAACATACCGAATTTGTTGAGTTGCAACAAGGGGATATGACGCTTCCTGAATATCGCCAAAAGTTTATCAGTCTTGCCAAATTTGCACCAACTTTGGTAAGCACCACAACTGACTGTATTGAGGAGTTCAGGTCAAAACTCCGACCAGATCTCAGGGCTCAAGTATCTATCATACCAACGGTACGGTAGACTTCACGGAAGCCTATGATCTGATTGCTAAAGCAGACAAAGATTTGAATGCTTGTAAGGAGTACTTGAAGAAAGAAGGTGCTAGCACAAGTGAACGTCGACCTACAAATTTTGTCCCGAGTGGGAAAAGACCATTTCAAGGACCCAGCAGCTCACACTTCTCCAAGAAGGGGAAATCTGTACAAACCCAATCAGTGGCATGTGGCAACAGGTCAAAGGGAAGGAAAAACCCAGTGTGTAATGTGTGGTAGACACCATCCTGGGGAATGTTGGCTTGCTCAAGGACTATGTCTCGGTTGTGGAAAGCTGGGGCATTTCCGAAAGAACTGTCCCACAAATCCTAGAGAGCCATTTCCACCTGCTCCTGTCACGGTACGAGGTATTGTCCTCATGGTACCTAGGTACCGATCCTACGGTATCGGGGGTACCGACCGAATCCACTAAACTCTCCCGGTCAGACTGTCACGGTAGCCGACTACCGACTGGGCGGTAGGGCCTACCGTCCGTCTAGTACCTAGGTATCGTACGGTTACAGCTACCGACAGAGAAGAAAAGAACAACAGAGTGTGACGGTAGCACGGTACCGTCCTGGTGGTACTGCCTACTGTCTGACGCAACACTTTATATATTTACACCGGTTTCATTTTTCAGCATCAAACCAACAACAATCTCAGAACAACAAACACCAATACGTTCATATTAACATTCTTAACATTATCTATACCATCTTAATCCGTCTAGGTCTGCAGCCCCTTTCGGACTAAAGTATTTAACTTGGTAATCGTAAAAATTTAAAACTTTTCAACACATTTTATTTATCACAATAGTATCTTTCATAACATATACAGTACGGAGTATTCAACAATATTGCGGAAGCGAATTTAATATTGACATATCATAAATCATTTCAAACTTGTCATATCCATCCCGACAATCTCGCCCCATCTGCCGCCAGGATCACATTAATCTTTCTGTTTACCTGCGTGTAGCAAATAAAACACACTACATGCTCAGCGGTAAAGCTGAGTAAGCATATCTAATGCGTCGAACATCCATATAAATTGAATCTAAATTCATAATCAAATCATTTGATATCATGCACACAATGTTTATTTCAGACATTCACAGTTTTGGTATAGTTCAGTTCATAACAACACATTTTATTCAATTCGAATATAATTTCGACAGTGCTCCTAAATTATTATTAATCTAAGGACAAATAATAACAACGCTCTTAGCTAATCTTAGTCTAAGGCCAGATCATAACAACGCTCTTAGCTAATTTTAGTCTAAGTCCAAATCATAACAATGCTCTTAGCTAATCTAAGTCTAAGGCCAAATCATAATTTCATTCTCAGACGCTTAAACTATGATTAGTTTAAGGCAAACAATCCTCATACGCTTAAACTATAATTAGTTTAAGGCAAACAACAATTCTCAGACGCTTAAACTATAATTAGTTCAAGGCAACAACAATATAGTGATTAATCATCATTGAGTCAAAGTATTTCCAAACAAGTGATTCTCCAGTTTGGTCTACGAATTCCGGTATTACATTTTCATCCAATCACTGAATATTCATGTTTCACAAATCCATACTAATATGAGATCTATTCTAGAGGTCTTCTATATAGCCTTAACATCAATTTTCTAAATGGGTATATTTTAGAGTTCTTCTAGATACCCTAAACACTAGAAATCATTTCATAATTCTAAATGAATTCATTTTACTCATGATTCAATCATAATTACTCATTTTAATCAGTAGGTTCATTATTCATAATCATCCATAATATTCATTTATCATAATCATTAATTAACATATCAATTGATAACAAATAGCGGCCTAGCTTCGAGTATTAACACCCGAACTTACCGTCATCCATCACATATCATTTTTATTTGTTAAAAAAATCATTTTTATTCTGAAAACTCATTTTTATAATGATCATAATCAATTGGTATCAAAAATAGGATTTTAGATCTCAAAAATAGCATTTTCAAGCAAATTTTTGGATCAGAACTTCGGGAGATCGATCCAGCCCTCTGGATCGATCCATGATATGTAAAAATGTTCCTAGAGGATCGATCCAAGCCTTAGGATCGATCCATAAAGTGTTTTTTCGCTTACTGTTCATGTTCTTCAACCTTCGGTCCTTTTTTCAGAAATACCATTTTTAGTTACCGAACATCAACGAAACTATATAGAGATGTTCTCCAAGGTTCATAGATCATTTTGGCATCATTAATTCATAGTTTTGACATCATTTTCATGGTTTATGATTCTTTTTTTTCAAGCATGTCAAACACGAAACTCAATTAAACGACCGTTTATGAATGTAGAAACGATCTATACGAACATTCTAGTCACTAGATATATCTACGGGCTTACCTCGAAGCTTAACCAAGGTTTTGGAAATTTTCCAACGAAACTTCCAGCGAGGTTTGTAGCTAGCTCCAGCGTCCTCTCACCAAATTGGCAACACAACAATATTCCTTACACTCTCAAGAATACAATGGGAGAAGAAGTAGAGAGAATGATGTAGAAATGAGAAGGGTTGCTTCTACTTATAAAGGGAAGAAGAGAAGTAGATTACAAAGGTTGCTGAGTCAATTGTGATTCACGATCGGCGTAGTGGAGAAGGAGGCGTAGTGTGTATAGTTCCATGATTGGGATCAATTTTGGTTCCAATCGGGGTACACTTTGTTGTCCAACTTTCTCCGAAATGAATTCCATTTGCATCGTTGCGATCATGCAGTCGAACTCTATCCAACGATATAATTTTTATATTTATTTGTAATACTTTTTCTGACATCATATTTTTGGGTGTTTGACTTTGACAGAGTCAAAATTGATTCAGTTGACTTTTATTCAAAAAGGTTCTCATATTTAATTCATATTAATTATTCTCATGATTTATTTCAATAAATCATTTTAAAGTTCACATCATAATTAATTTCTTCATTTATTCTTGATTTGGGTCTGTACTCAGGTTGCCAATCAAGACCACACAAATAGTCAACAAATTGGATTTATCTCTATGAGATATAATTTATCCTGATTGTGATATTAGATATCAAAACACATTTTATTTCGGCCCAAAGCCCAACAACAATTTATTCTAATCAAAACAAATTTGATTAATTGAATAATTATTCATTAATAATTCTAGGGTATGTTTTGGGGTGTTACATTTCTTCCCCCCTTAAAAGAATTTTTTCCTCGAAATTCTTCTAAGGTCCACCATCAATATTTAATCATGACCGTGTCATGTTTATATGGTTACGTTTTTATCTTACAGATACGTATTCTCAAATTGTTGATGTCACTAGTCTCGTTCAACCTTCGAAAGATTAACAATTTTCGATTAAGCAAGACCTTCACTGATCCTTTGGTATTGATGTCAAAAGTTCCTTCATAGTGTATAGTATTGTATACTTGATATATTTACATATAACTTCGTTCAGTCACGAGTCTCATTTGTACATTGGTCAACAGAATTCTTTTCTCGATTGAAAAGTTCTTCAATAGCCTTTGTAAAAGGGTCACGATAGGTATAGTTGGAAATTTGGAGATTATTTTAAATCATACGTCGTAACGTAATCCCTTAAGTTACCCAAGGGGTCGTTGTCTTAGGGCAATAACCATATTGACTTTTTGTCTCTAATTTGAACGTATTTCAGGACAGCGAATCTAATTGTTCATGAGTCTCAATATGTCATATCTGTTGAAACACGGGTTTGTCACGTTTTCATACTAAAGCCGTGTTTGTTTTTCTGACAGGTTTTGATAATGCCAAATAGCCGAGAACGAGACAAGTATTTGAATATACAAGGCGAGAACCGAAGATAAGAAGAAGAGCTAAAAGAAGACCAAGGACGAAGACCACAGTCTTAGTGTCGTTGAGTCGGTCATAATTGTGATCAAGACCGACCCAACCTTCACGCCTTGGCTCTTTAATCTAAATTCTTTCCATTGCATTTCTTACATCATAAAAATGTTTTTCAGACATGTCTAATTTATTAAAAACACTTGGTGTTCGCCCAAACCAAAAACCAAGCCATCCGGCGTTCGACTTTCAGAAACCGGCGTTCGGCATTCGGTTATTCGGTGGTTTTCAACATTTTATGATTGGTTTTTACTCTTTGGCATGTTTAAACAGTTCTCCAACAAAAACACCTTGAAAACCACCTTTCGTTTTTGGTCGTTTGGCAAAAACCACGGAAAACGGTATAAACTTGGCTAGCCGTGGTTTTTACTCAAATGACATGGTTTTTAAAGTGTCTCACTTGATTTCTTAGCCAAATACATCAAATAAGTGTTTTAAACACTTGGTTTTTATTTTGGAGAACTTTGGATTTTTCAGTCGGTTTTTACATCGGTTGGCTAGGCCGTGGTTAAGGCAAAAACCATGGGTTTTTGACTAACCACCCACCCAGCAATGGGAAGATCTACCCATCAATTGTTAAGCGGTCCTTTAGTCCAACCAAGTTTTAGAACCATGCCAAACAGGGATGGGAACTTCTACCCATCGCTGTTAAAGCCTTGGTCCAACATCAACACAAGGCAGAACGACCTTACCCAGCGATGGGGACTTTACCCCATCGATGGGAACCCAGCGATGGGAAGGCATAACCATCGATGGGAAGGCATGACCGTTGGAAGTCATTTAAGGTTGATTCTTTCCTTGTTTGGAAGTCAACCTCCCACCCAGCGATGGGAAGCTTGTACCCATCGATGGGTAGGTGACCGTTGGCTTCAAAACTGAAGGAAAATTGGCCTACCAACGATGGGTAAAGTCCATACATCGCTAGGAAGCCAATATCCTACAGATCCCAAATTTATTCAATCCCATAAATCAAGCCAATCACCCCTTTAATGTATTGGTCTGTTGGAGCCTATTTTGGCACTATAAAAAGGGGTGTTTGGGTCTAATTACACAAAAAAATCACTTCACAACTCTCCTACTTTCATTGCATTCAAACAACATTCTTTTCCATAGCATTTAGAGCCAATTCGTGTGAAGGTTGAGTTGTTCTTGAGCGTACTTAGTTTACTCAATATCTAGTCTAAAAGAGAGTCTCGTTCTTGAGTGTTTTTGTGTTCTAAGACACATTGAGAGAAAGTATTTCTCTTGTTTGATTCGAAGGAAGGGCTGTTTCCTTCGAAGGATTCGTTGTGGTTCGTGTGACTCGAATTCTCACGTTGTAAGGGTTTGTTAAGCACCGTTAAGCTTAACGAGATAGTAGTGTAGCTCGAGAGAGTCTATCGGGAGGCTGGATTAGCCACAAGTTGTTGTGAACCAGGGTAAATTCGGTGTGCCTCTTACTCTTCTCTTTACTTCTCCTTTAAATTGTTTATTCCTGCGATTTCTCGATCAAACGCTATTCACCCCCCCCCTCTAGCGTTGGTCTTTTATTCTAACAATTGGTATCAGAGCCTAACTCGTGTCCAAACTTAACCGTTTGAGAGTAAAGCGATCATAGGTTCTTCTTCTAGAAATCTTCATGCAGGGATCAGAGAAGCTAAGGTCAATCAACTTCTAGGCCACCACTCTTTGATGGCACCAACTACACATATTGGAAAGTGCGGATGAGAATTTATATCTGCTCAACCAACTTTCAGTTGTGGTTGGTCATCAAGAACGGCAAAGAAACGGCAATGAAGAAGGTTGGTGAAAAGCTCGTCCCAAAGACCGAGGACAAATTTGATACCGAAGACATCAAAAAGGTGGAGAACTACGCAAAGGCAATCAACATGCTCTATTGCACGGTCAACCCCGATGATTATCGCAAGATCTCTTGCTGCACCACTGCCAAAGAAATGTGGGACAAGCTGGAGGTCACATATGAAGGTACGGACCAAGTTCGGGAAGCCAAAGTTGACTTCCTAACGTAGGAGAATGAAATGTTTAGGATGAAGGAAGGCGAAAAGATTGATGACATGTTCGATCGGTTCTCAAAGAGCATCAACGACCTTCATGCTCTCAAGAAGACTTACGCAAACAAGGATCTCGTGAGGAAAATCCTGCGGAGTCTCACATGTTGGAGTTGTGCCCTGTTGGCCAACTCTTTATCGTTATTCTATCATGTATAGGCAGATATAATATGTTTACACATCTCATGCTAATGTAAGCAAATATTATATTCCTAGATTTATATTTAAAAGATGTTTATCAGATAGTGTTCTTCTGCTGATGAGACTAACATCTTGAAATAAATATTTATCTAAATGTCCATAGTCGAGTATTAACGAGAGTTGGATATCGTTAATGCATGTGAGACTAGTGTGTGTTGGATGTTTGACTTAGTCTCATAGTCAATGACGGTGTGTTCGCATCCGCACATGGGCAGATATTATCTAGAGATAATAGGATGCCGGACTGACCCATCCTAAAGATGTTGCTTGAACTTTTAATTCATGCTCTAAGCATCTTTAGCGCGACCACGGGTGTAACTATCCTTCGACTTGAAGTATTACGTTTTCTGCATATGTGAACCCGCATGCTTTGATGCATTATCCTAAGCCATATGAAATAAGGATGGTATACAGGCTTTGTTTTGGGTATGCCGCAGCGCGTATTCAGAAACGTAGATTACGTACATAGGATTTGTCACTACTCTTTTTAAAGAGATTAATGTCTTATGGGGCCCACTGATAAGTTATGACTAAGGAAATTGCATGGCCATGCTGAGATGCTTTTATGACGTCTGTTCCTATTAGTCAGACTTGATAAATCAGTGAATGACTTAATGGATACAAGTTGGATTTTATTAATCCCTTGCATTAAGTTTAGACATTGAGACAAAGGGATACAGTTACACGGAGTCTGAGTCGTGGAAAGGTTTTGACAGTGCAAACGTCTTAACTTATAATCTGGGGGCAATAATGTGTTGCTAGATACCGCATATTGCTTATAGTATTGGTGCAGAGCCAATACTGTGGCCAGCTTTATAAGTGCCTATACGGGTCACACACTTTGAACAATTTAAGGAGTAGGATTAAACANAAAATAGTAAAATAAAATATTTTGGAATATAATATTATATATATAAATATTCGGTTATATATATTATATATATGTACCGATTAATGTATATATATTATATGTTGAATATTTTATTTTGGTTTGTCATTTTAATTATGAAAATAATTATCTTGACATAAACTATTTAAAGTATATTTGTATACTTGTTTAAAATAATATGGGTATTTTTATTTGATTTAAAATTAATTTTTATATTAATTTTTGGTGTCAAATAAAATACACATTGAACATTTTAGTGGAGAAGAATTTCAAATATCCTTCTCATATCATCATACGGCCAAGTGGAGATTTTAAAGAATCAAATTTCCTTGATTGAAGTTAGTGGAGCTAATTATGTTTTGTCATTTAGTTAATGACAAAGTGAAATTAATCATTTGTTTTTATTTACACTTTTGGCACGCCACTTTCAAAATAAATGGTGTGAGATTAGGCCATGGTTGATATGTATGATTCGGGCATAATATTTTCTAGTGTGAGAAAATAATATTTTGGTTCCATTAATATCATTTTGTGTATAGAAAATATCTATAATATTTTCTAAATATTATTAGAAATATTTTCTACAGAAATATACAAGATTATTATTATCCCAAATTTTAATCATTATATTTTATACTACTATAATCTTTACTAGCATAAAGATTGTGGTAGACTCTGGCGTTGTTCGTGTGTCAAAGTTGGAGAGCGGACGCTTGAATGGTTACGTTTGCACTTTCAACGCTCTTCCTACGACTTCTTCGTTTTTACCGCTTACGGAGAAAGGTATAAATTTCTTACTCACTATAAGTTTAGTACGTGATTCTGGGCAAGATAATCATGTTAGGATGTTAAATTTTTTTATATTCCGCTGCCTATCCTTGCATGATTACCTTTCATCACACCCAAATGGAGATCAAAGGCCGACGCAATCTAAGAATCAATCGGAGTCTCCAACGTCACCATCGACGGGTTAAGAGGTAACCTCAAAACTTATGAATCAACTATTCTAACCCCGTCTTTGGATGAACAAAAGAAGAAAGGTATAGCACTCAAAGCGACCAAGGAAATGGTGGAAGAAGTCTCAAAATAATGCTAGGACACCTAGTAGAGAAAATTTTCAAAAACCAATATTTTCCCAAAATAGGATGAATATGGTTAGGCCCCATAGCAACTATTACCAGCCTAGGAGGATGCACAACCCAAACGTAGTTTGCCATTATTGCAATAGGGTAGGACATATAGCTCTCGTTTGCTTTACAAGGCATAGGCATTGGGCACAAAATGAATCACACTATCACTTTGCACCTAACACTCAAGGACCCAAAAAGACTTGGGTACCTAAATCTTATTAAATCATTCTTGTAGGTGTTCTTGAAGACGTCAAGTGTGCTTTGGTACCTTGATAGCGGATACTCCAAGCACATGACCGGAGATGCATCCAAGTTCTTACAAATCAAACCCTCTAAAGGAGGAAACGTAGTCTTTGGAGATAATAGCAAGGGAAAGGTTATCGGAATTGGTTCAGTAGATTCACTAGAGAGAATACACGTCGAAGACGATGAAGAGAACACGGGAATATACACCAACACGCAGCCCCAAATTGGGGAGACGCCTCAAGCGACTAACCAAGGTGACGGAGAAAACAAGGAGGAAGAAAAGGAACAAGAGGAACACGATGAAGAAGCAATCAAGCTTCCCGTTGCATGAAGAACAAACAAGAATCATCCGCTTGGCCAGGTAATCGGTAGCATCAACCGCGGGGTAAGTACTCGAAACTTACTTAGGGACACCGTAGGACACATGGCTTTTGTTTCTCAAATTGAACCTACAACCATTTCCGAAGCAATAAACGATGAACATTGGACCTTTGCTATGCAAGAGGAGCTAAACCAATTCAAACAGAATGACGTTTGGGAATTGGTGCCAAGGCCCGATGATCGTACGATTATTGGTACGAAATGGGTGTTCCGTAACAAACTTGATGAAAATGGAATAATCACTAGAAACAAAGCTAGGCTCGTAGCCAAAGGCTAAAATCAAGAAGAAGGCATTGATTTCGAAGAAACTTATGCACCCGTAGCACGTTTAGAAGCAATTCGTTTACTTCTTGCTTTTGCTTCGTCTATGGATTTTAAACTTTATCTAATGGATGTTAAGAGTGCCTTTCTCAATGGTTTCATTCAAGAGGAAGTGTATGTTGACCAGCCCCCGGGCTTTGAAGACTTTGAATTTCCCGACCATGTCTTCAAACTCAAGAAAGCGCTCTACGGTCTTAAACAAGCACCCCGTGCTTGGTACGAACGTTTGAGTAAATTTCTTTTGGACAGTGGTTTCCAAAGGGGAAAGGTTGACACTACACTTTTTATCAAGAGTAAAAACAATAACATCCTTTTGGTTCAAGTTTATGTAGATGATATTATATTCGGTGCTACTAACGAGTCCTTGTGCAAGGAATTCTCAAAGTTAATGACAAGTGAATTCGAAATGTCAATGATGGGCGAGCTCATGTTCTTTTTGGGACTCCAAGTCAAGCAAATGAGAGATGGCACGTTCATTTGCCAAACTGAATATTGCAAGGAGCTCCTAAAACGGTTTGAAATGGACTACGCCAAAGCCATGGCGACCCCGATGACCATGTCCGACCATCTTGACAAAGACGAAAAAGGTAAGGAAGTAGAAGTCAGAAAGTATCGAGGTATGATCGGATCCCTTCTTTATCTTATCGCTAGCAGGCCGGATATCATGTTTAGCGTATGCCTCTGCGCAAGGTATCAATCATGTCCGAAGGAATCGCACTTAACGGCGGTGAAACGGATCATGAAATACCTTGTTGGCACGGTTAACGTTGGACTCTGGTATCCAAAAGGCTCTTCTTTTCATCTCGTTGGTTATTCCGACTCGGACTTTGCCTGTTGCAAGTTGGACCGCAAAAGCACGAGTGGGACTTGCCACTTACTTGGTATCTCTTTAGTTTCATGGTTTAGTAAGAAACAAGTCAGTGTTGCGCTATCCACAACCGAAGCAGAATACGTTGCCGCCGGTAGTTGTTGTGCTCAAATTCTTTGGATGAAGCAACAACTCGTGGACTATGGCCTTAGTATCAGTCACTTTCCACTTCGTTGTGATAATATTAGCGCCATAAACTTGACGAAGAACCCCGTTCTTCACCCAAGGATGAAACATATTGACATTAGGCACCATTTCATTAGAGACCATGTTCTCAAAGGTGATGTCGAAATTGAGTTTGTTGAAACACACAACCAATTAGCCGACATTTTCACAAAACCTTTAGAGAAAGATTCGTTCTTCTGCATTCGTAGTGATCTTGGAATCCTTGACTCCACGATGATCTAATTTGTGCATTTTATTACTCTTTTATCTCTGTTTGAACGTTTACTAACTTGAGCGTCGGAGGGTTTTCTAACTCTTTTTTGCAGGGACGGTTCGAAGTGAAGAATTCTGGAAATCAGGGGGAACCAGCGATGGGTGGGTTATACCATCGCTGGGAGGGAAGTTTATCTTTTCCACAACTCCTCTTCCCATCAATAGGAACCTCTTCCCATCGCTGGGTGATTTACTCTTTTTTTAAAACTTTTTAATGGATTTCCAGAACCCCCATACCCATCGATGGGTGTTTTACCCCATCGCTGGGTGAATGACTTTTGCTTCAAAACATTTTCCAGAACCTCCCCACCCATCGATGGGAACTTCCTCCCATCGCAGGGGAGTTTGACTCTACTTTTTTAAAATTTTTAACGGATTTCCTAAACCACCAACCCAGCGATGGGATGGTATTAACATCGCTGGGAAGGCCAAGTTCTTTTCTTCGTCCATTTCTAGAAGCCACCTTCCCATCGATGGGAGGATCCAAACATCGCTGGGAAGGCAGCCTTGAATTTCTCCTCGCTTTCCAGTGGCGACCTTCCCATCGATGGGTAGATCCTACCATCGCTGGGAAGGCAGTTGAATTTCAAAAAATTTAGCCGTTGGGCACATCAATTAATGCCCAACAGCTATAATTTTGAATTCACACGGTTTCTTCCTCCTCTCCCTATATATTTACATCATCCTTGACCTTCTTCACACACCATTAACATAATACTTTCATTCCTTTAGCCTATTATACATATTTCATCAATCTTTCTTCAAAAATGCTTCAATCATGGCCGGAGGAAAGTCCAAGAGCAAAGCTTCCAAGAAGAAAAGCACCATCGAAGCCTCAAGCTCTGCGTCGCCGCCGTTTCCCTATCTCGATGGCTCCTTCCTTGAGTTCGGATCGGAGGAAGAACTCACGCGCTTCCTCACCCACTTCGCCAAACGCCCTATCTCTCCGCCAAGGGTGCTGCCTGAGTTGTTCCCCCAGCAAAAAGGGTACCACGACCTTGACAATCAACTCAAAGAGTTAGGTTTGTGGCCCTTCGTCTCCAAGAGCCGCACCTCCTACAATCCCGCTTTTGTCCGGGCCTTCTACTCAAATCTCCGCTGTGCCGGGGACACCATCCACAGTAGCATCAATCTCTACGACATAGAGATTGACTTGCCGATGTTTGCACGGATCGCAGGGCTGCCCATCTGAGGCGACGACATCGTGACGTACCGTGGCGACGACTGGATCCTCAACAACGAGGCGGTGGTAATCCGAGAGCTGTAGATCACCAACCTCATTCGCCACAGCGGCGCGCCGACGATTCACTCAGCCCCACCGGACAAGCGCCTCCTCCTCTACATCATCACCCGGATTCTTCGCCCCTAGGGCAGCAGCCATACCTCGCTCTTCAATGAGGATTTGAAGGTCATCCACGCCATCATCCACGGCGCCTCCATCAATTGGGCGAAATTCGTCATGATCCACATGGCGGATTGTGCCTCCATCGCCACCGAGCGGAGCTTGCCTTACGCCTTCCTCGTCATGGATCTCATTGTCGCCTCCGACATCCACATCGCTGGACCGGATACAAAGATGACAAAAATTTGGATCATCCAAGATAGCACCTTCCGGAAGAAGTCTGGAGACCGGGACGACGCCGGACCGAGTCGTGCCCGTGTCTCTGCCCATGCCCCAACCCCCGCTCCCGCCCGGGCCTCATTGCAGTCCATACGCGACACTCTGAATCGGCTAACCCTCACGGTGGATGACATGGGTCAGTACATGGAGCGAATGGATTGGATGCTGCAACGCCAATACCACGACATGACGGCGTTCTTCCGCGACATCAACTACGTCCCGCCGCCCTTCGACAGCACCATCCTCGGCCAAAACTTTGAGGGCGAGGATGAGGACAACTTTGAGGACGCAGTCGACAGCGATCCCATGGACGTCGAAGACGACGAGGATGATGATGAGGACGAGGACGAGGAAGCCGATGCCTAGACTCTTCCTTTCTTTCCTTTTTTTTAATTCTTTTTGTTAATGTCAAAAGGGGGAAGATAAAAAGGTTATGCATAAATTGAAGGGGAATTTTTTTAAACTCTCATTCATAACAAATACTTTATTGAAAATAAAATTGCATTTATTAAGGGGGAACATTTTTTTGGTCTTAAAATAATCCTCCTATGCATAACCTCGTCTTGTTTGCCATTATCAAAAAGGGGGAAATTGTTAAAACACGGGTTTGTCACGTTTTCATACTAAAGCCGTGTTTGTTTTTGTGACAGGTTTTGATAATGCCAAACCGCCGAGAACGAGACAAGTCTTTGAATATACAAGGCGAGAACCGAAGATAAGAAGAAGAGCTAAAAGAAGACCAAGAACGAAGACCACAGTCTTAGTGTCGTTGAGTTGGTCATAATTGTGATCAAGACCGACCCAACCTTCACGCCTTGGCTCTTTAATCTAAATTCTTTCCATTGCATTTCTTACATCATAAAAATGTTTTTCAGACATTTCTAATTGATTACAAACACTTGGTGTTCGCCCAAACCAAAAACCAAGCCATCCGGCGTTCGGCTTTCAGAAACCAGCGTTCGGCATTCGGTTATCGGCGTTGGTTTTTGGCGTCCAAACACACCAAGTGGTTTTCAACATTTTATGATTGGTTTTTACTCTTTGGCATGTTTAAACAGTTCTCCAACAAAAATACCTTGAAAACCACCTTTCGTTTTTGGCCGTTTGGCAAAAGACACGCAAAACGGCATAAACTTGGCTAGCCGTGGTTTTTAATCAAATGACGTGGTTTTTAAAGTATCTCACTTGATTTCTTAGCCAAATACATCAAATAAGTGTTTTAAACACTTCGTTTTTATTTTGGAGAACTTTGGATTTTTCGGTCGGTTTTTGCATCGGTTGGCTAGGCCGTGGTTAAGGCAAAAACCATGGGTTTTTGACTAACCACCCACCCAGCTATGGGAAGATCTACCCATCGATGGGTAAGCGGTCCTTTAGCCCAACCAAGTTCCAAAACCATGCCAGACAGCGATGGGAACTTCTACCCATCGCTGTTAAAGCCTTGGTCCAACATCAACACAAGGTAGAACGACCTTACCCAGCGATGGGGACTTTACCCCCATCGATGGGAACCCAGCGATGGGAAGGCATAACCATCGATGGGAAGGCATGACCGTTGGAAGTCATTTAAGGTTGATTCTTTCCTTGTTTGGAAGTCAACCTCCCACCCAGCAATGGGAAGCTTGTACCCATCGATGGGTAGGTGATCGTTGGCTTCAAAACTTAAGGAAAATTGGGCTACCAGCGATGGGTAAAGTCCATACATCGCTGAGAAGCCAATATCCTGCAGATCCCAAATTTATTCAATCCCATAAATCAAGCCAATCACCCCTTTAATGTATTGGTCTGTTGGAGCCTATTTTGGCACTATAAAAAGGGGTGTTTGGGTCTACTTTACACAAAAAATTCACTTCACAACTCTCTTACTTTCATTGCATTCAAACAACATTCTTTTCCATAGCTTTTAGAGCCAATTTGTGTGAAGGTTGAGTTTTTCTTGAGCGTACTTAGTTTACTCAATATCTACTCTAAAAGAGAGTCTCGTTCTTGAGTGTATTTGTGTTCTAAGACACGTTGAGAGAAAGTATTTCTCTTGTTTGATTCGAAGGAAGGGCTGTTTCCTTCGAAGGATTCGTTGTGGTTCGTGTGACTCGAATTCTCAAGTTGTAAGGGTTTGTTAAGCACCGTTAAGCTTAACGAGATAGTAGTGTAGCTCGAGAGAGTCTATCGGGAGGCTGGATTAGCCACAAGTTGTTGTGAACCAGGGTAAATTCGGTGTGCCTCTTACTCTTCTCTTTACTTCTCCTTTAAATTGTTTATTCCTGCGATTTCTCGATCAAACGCTATTCACCCCCCCTCTAGCGTTGGTCTTTTATTCTAACAATATCATCAGCAGACTATAGTATTGGCGAGTACGTCATTGTTAGTAGGTAAATCGAATCCATCTTTGTTGTACAAATTTCGATTCAAGATAACTACCCCTTTTTTCTCAAAGGTTAGGTTTCAGAGCTTATATATATCATGACTGTGGCAAGAATATCTCACATTCTCCCATTATGGAAGGAACTTCTCGTGCTCTTTCTTATACCATAAGATTCATTGGTCTACTTGGTAGTCATCCTCTTGGTAGAAATCGAAAGTTTATGGCTACGACAGTAGATTTAGGAAGGGAATTGGTAAGGCGAAAAATTAGGCTTACCTATGGAGGAGGCAACGTTGGCCTTCAAGGAGCTGTTGCTTCAACAGTCTATACCAATGGTGGTATAGTTAGAGGCTTTATACCAGGGTACATAGCAGCACGACAGGTCTACGGATCTACGTACGGTGTCGAGTACACCGTTTCCAGCAATTACTATAAGTACTTCAAGATGAATCATGTTGTAGAGGCTTTCATCATACTTCCCGGGGGAATTGATACTATGGAAGGTTTGTTCACTTTGATCTCATGGGCATCCGAAGGGTTGCACAGTAAACTCATTGGTCTTTTGAACATTGATGGTTATTTCAATAACCTAATCAAGTTTCTAGATGATGAGGTGAGGTAGAACTTCATGGCTTTGAATCAGGGGAAACTTTTCATCTCTTCTTTCTTTGTTGATGAGCTTTTAGACGAACTAGAGTTTGCTAAAGCTTTTCTGAGTCCTCGAGCTAATTACGACGAGTTCGCAAATCCCGGGGGATTAGATTTAGAGTTGCATTTGTAATATTACTTTATGTAATTTCAGTTGAATTTGTTTTGGAATAATATTGTCTTATGAACATTATGAGTCAACCATAAATATTACTCTAAGGTGCATGACAAGTGCATGTCAGAGAAATATTTATTTTCAACATCAGAATGCATTATGTAAATATCAAGCATTTTCTTCAAGACGGGTCAAATTTCATTATACAAATGTTCAACACATATAGATTCAAGCAATTACGAATATTCTTGGGTTACAAATCGAAAGATAATTTATTGTTTACAGAAAACATTCATTCTTCATTGCATTCTCGAACTCTCCTCGATGATAGTTTTGACATTATAGGGGCATCATCCTTGGTTTGAAGTTCCTTTAGAATGTTGACTTGTTCCTGAACGAACAGATTGATTTTGGATAGAAGTAATTGAATATGGTCTAGGGTTAATGGGACATTCCCTTCAAAAATGTTCAGGTTTGCCACAACCTAGACATAATCCTTGCATCAACCGGCATTCTCCTGGGTGGTGTCTTTTACAAATATCACACTTTGGATGTTTCCATACTCTCATTTTGTTTTCGGATGACGTTGATTGGATTGTCATTGACTTTCCCTTTTTCGAGTGTAAGGCACTATCGGTTTCTTGCAGGGGTCTCTTCCCGCTTGTATTTGGTCGTACATTTGAATTGACATTCTCAGTTTTCAGACTTTCATAGTAATCACTTAGATCTTTTTTAGCTTTAGAGATTAGATCGTATGCCTCAATAAAATCCACAGTTTGAATGGTAGATATGTGCGGCCTGAGATCAGGTCGAAGTCTTTTGCGAAACGCTTCAATGCGGTCAGCCGCTGTGCCCACGAGCGTGGGTGCAAATTAAGCGAGATGGACAAATCTTTGTCGGTATTCAGGGAGTGTCATATCTCCTTGCTTTAATTCAACAAATTCAGCACGCTTCTCTTCACAGAATCGGGCTGGGATATATTCTTTCTTGAATACCCAATCAAAGAATTCCCAAGTCCAGGGTTTGGGTGTGTTTGGATTTTCATCAGTGCGTTTCCACCATTCATAAGCTTCCTTGCGGAGCAATTGAGATGCAAATTTTGGATGGTCAACAAGAGGTATGTTCAGATTTTCTAGTACACGAGCGGTCTGCTCGATCCATTCAAGAGCGATCTGGGGTTCGGCAATTCGATCTCCCAGGAGCATCATTATCTTTCAAGGTCTTGAAAGTGATCAAATGAGGTGGATGTGGTTGAAACATAGGGGCATGAGTCATTTGTTGCAAGAAGTTTACCATTAAGGTAGGTAGCATAGCATCAGGTTGACCTCCAACATTTTGATCATTTTGGGGAATATTTTGTGGGTTCGCTGGTTCATTTTGAATAGGAGATGTGAAAGTGGATGCTTCGCTATGAACATTCTCTTGTTCATTGTTTGGCACTTGGTTACTTTGTCCGTGAGCAGTTTCTTGACTCATACTACAATAACAAAAATTCCTTTATTAGGATTGAATAGGCGAGTTGATAACAGATATCACTTTATTTCATTTATTCAATCAAATTACATCGATGTTCTTAATGGTAAGCAATTATGTCACTAGACATTTCATAACAAGGCATCACTTCTTTCAACAAGATTGAGCTGTCCATCGTTTCTAACAAGTAGGTTCTTCGACCGAACAAGTCGTCAGTTAGTAGCAAAGGATAACGACTCTTGATGGTCAATTTTGTTCGAGTTCTTGATAGGGATTTGATAGTATCCTAACCATAAGTCAATCTTAGAGAACACAATGGGTCCTCTAAGCTGATCAAATAAGTCATCGATACGAGATAAGGATAACGATTTTATTTGACAATCGTTGATATAGAGTCTCATCGATCCATTTCATTTGCGTACTCATTCGAGATGAACTCAATCGGTTTAATTATCAACTTTGCTTTCACCTCTATAAGGTTACCATCATTGGTCTTCAGTTGAAGAATTCTTCGTCAAGAGTTGTCAACAGAACACCGTTTAGTCAGCCAATTCATACTAAGGATAACGTCAATTTCCTTGTATGGTATTTTCAACGAGGTTTATCAAGGAATTGTTGGTTAATGAATGATTTTGATTCACATGATACAATCTCATATTGTTTCGTAATGAGTTAGACATCAGAATGGGATACTTTGGATAATAGAGTTTTATTGATTCTAAACGTTCGTGTTTGAATCAGCGATCAGATTGTGTTGAGTCCACATGAAGATCTTTGACGTCGACTACACAGATGTTGTTTGTAAAATCAACATTAATTGTTTCTTCAAAGTCGTCTTACTTTCGTGCGACTTTACAA